AACCCCAAACCGCCAAACCCTAAACTTGGTGGTTTCAGGCTTTTCCCTAGCTGAAGTCCCCTGTTTTGCCTGGGCTATGATTGTAATATAGGGGCCTTAACAATTAGAAAAGGGTTTTGGGGCCCATGATGCTATACTCATAGTAAGGAACCCTCGCAAAATAGTATAGGTAAAATATGAGGCTTCTGTATCAACGCCCGATGATAAAGACCCGCTTAAACACCCGGCAAGACTGCGCAGAAACCGAAACCCTGGAAACCAGCCCTGGTAGCGTACTGCTTTCAGGGTGGTATGGGATCAATGATGCTGAACCCTAAACCCTAAACCCCTAAACCCTAAACCCTAATCTAGGCGTTTAGGATTCGGGCTTTTCGGGGTCAGGGGAAGGGTTCCAGAACCTACCTTTCTAGGGCTCCTTATATACATCCTTAAAAGGACAGATTCTTCAGGGTTCATGGGTAGTTTAAAGTGGGGAAATAATACGAGTAGGATCACTCAAGTTATGACCGAAATTGGAGGAAACCCCATTTATAACTACCCATGAACCTCCAAGTAGAACCTAAAGCCTTTACACCCTAAACCTAAACCCTTAAAGCAAGCCTAAACCCTAAACCCTAAACCCTAAACCCTTAAACCCTAAATAAACCCCAAACCCCAAAACCTATACCCTAAACCCTTAAAGGTAACCCTCGTGTATTCCCTTCCCTCAAGCCCGGCCGAGGTGCCAGGGCGGCCGCTGGCGATGTCTGAGCCGGCCCCTCGGCTCACCTGATGTTGGGGCCCAAAAGGGTTTAGGGTTTAGGGTTTAGGGGTTTAGGGGTTTAGGGTTTAGGGTTTAGGGTTTAGGGTTTAGGGTCCAAAAAGGTTTAGGGTTTAGGGGTTTGTGTTAAGGTGTAATGGCCCCTGTCTCCCAGCAAGTATCAGAGGTATGGAACCCACCAGTAGCAGGCATGTTTTGGGCTTAGGGTTTAGGGCTCAGGGCATAAGGTAAAATATAGAATGTTTGAATAGGCTTGCTTGAAGGGATACTATTCAAGTTTTTGCAGGGATACGATAAGGGTTTCATGCAGGGGCCTTAATTGTTGGAACAGGGTTTTGGGCTGGAATACTCGCAAGGAGCTCTAAGGAAGAAGATTGCCAAGTATTCAGGCGACCATATCAGGGCCTATTATCAACTGTGACTGCTGCCAGCAAGCAGTACTTCTGCTACGATTATTATTACTACTACTAGTACTCCTGCTGCTGCTCCTGCTGCCGCTACTTCTTACTGCTACTACTTCTTACTGCTACTACTACTACTAC